CTTTACCAGGAACACTGAGGCATCTTATTCTTTTGTGCTGTCTTGTTTTTATTTTGCTTTCCTATTCTCACTTTTATTTGTGTCTCTTTGTATGTTGATTTTTTATTCCACTTGCCAAACTGCCTTAAGTGCCAAACGGTCTCGTCACCCAGACAGGGAGGGGATTCCTACCGTCGGGAATCGGGAATCGGCAATTCCCCTTGACCTGGCGCACTGGGAGGACCGTGTGACCGTGTCCCGTGTTTGGGCTTATTTTCCAAGTAACTTCTAAGCCTTGTGCCTTGCTATGAGGTTACTGTGTCTGCCACCCAAGTGAATATTTACAATCAATGTATCTGAGGAAGCACTAGTCCAGCCAGCACCGTATTATCAACAGTGAGTGATTCAGAACCCGGATTAAGGTGGTTCACTACAACCAGGAGACAACGAGCATGTGCAATGACAACAGGAGAAGAGTAACAATGGGAATGAAAGATATGATAATGACAAGGGTAATAACGATAAATAAGATTATATCACAAATGAAAAGGGAAATGATAGATATAATAACGGAAACAGTGAAGGTACTGAAAACAGAAGATAAAGATATCTAAACCTACTGCAATGTTGAAAATAATAATGGTTATGTTTTTAATATTAAGAATGTTAATAATAATAAATATTTACAATCTTGGCAAAACCTTTCATTATCATTTTTAAATAGTAACAATAATGATGATAATGGCAGTCAAAATACCTACTATGCACAACCTAGATTTATCGGAAAAAGACATTTTCGAAATCATGATGGAGAAGAAGAGGAAGAGGAAGAAGTAAGAGGGAGAAGAGAAAGATGAAGAAGTAAGAGGGAGAGGAAGAAGAAAAGGATGAGGGAGAAGAAGAAGAGGAAGATGGAGAAGAAGAGAAATATGGAGAGGAAAAAGAAAAGGAAAAGGGAGAAGAAAAGGAAGAGGGAGAAGAAGAGGAAGAGGAAGAAGAAAAGGAAGAGGGAGGAGGGAGAAGAGGAAGAGGAATAAGTAAGGGGGAGAAGAAGAGGAAGACGAAGAAGTAAGAGGAAGAAGTAAGAGAGGAGAAGAGGGAGAAGTTAGGCTGAGCTATGTCGACGAGGCCTTTCCCCGTTTCCTGATTTCCTGTCGCAGCTGAACTCTCTCTCTCCTTCCATCCGCTTCAAGGTGGAATGAGAGGTTGACGACAAGCTCCCCTTCTTGGACACTTTTCCATCACTCTGCTGACCAATTCTTCTCTATATAAAGTGGTGTGTGAATATATAACCTCTCTGATAGGGAGTCGAACCCTCACCGCCATTGCAATGAACATGCAAGACGGTTACTCTAACCACTGATACACGACCAAAAGATATGTATAACTGTGAGCTACCTACCTTCCATAGACATTACCTATCTACTCATACATGGGTAATCATAGCAAAGTTTTACACATACTCCCCGTGGGCACTTGGTATACATAGAAATAGCAGTTCAGATCCCAATTCAGAAACCTGTAATATATTCAATAAAAGATGGAATAATGATATATACCACACACACACACAACACACATCACACACACAACAGCACTACAGCACACACACACACAACATTGGCCACACACATATATATATATATATATATAATGTGTGTGTTGTGTGTGTGTGTGTGTGTGTGTGTGTCTGTGTGTGTGTGGATATATATCTTTCTCAGAGAAGTGAGACCTGGGGCCTCACAATATCCTTCTGTTTTTTTGTAATTTTTTCTTTATTCCTTTCTCTCTCTCATCTTTTCTCTCTCTCTCTCTCTCTCTCTCTCTCGTTCTCTCGGTCTCATCTCTCTCTTCNAGAGAGAGAGAGAGAGAGAGAGAGAGAGAGAGAGAGGATATATATAAGAGAATCTACCTTCCTCATCCTTGCTCATATCTATGAGAGGAACATTTCATCCCTACACTTACTTGCTGGTGTTGAGTAATCTCCTTCATCATCCACAATTTCTGCATAGTCTTCGGAGCCGCCAGCACCTCTACGCGAGTCGCCTCCAGTTTCAGAACTGTGTCTCGAGCTGCTACTTCCAGAGCCGCTCACCTCTAGGGTGGGACCAGAGACGAGGGAATGTATTACCAGAATAAGATTGTTCTGCTAATATACATAGCTTTCATAGTTACATGGAAGGATCTTAAGGAAATGTCTCTTTTCTTTGATGTAACTCTCCTACAATAGGAAAGCTTACATATATCATATGATGCTGACAATGCACATTAATATGTTATCCACACTAAGCAATAGCAGCCTACATCATGCTCAATCTTTTTTAACCTAATATTCTATATTCTGATCACTTTCTAAATACTGGAATCACTGAATTTCGTATACAGTTATCATATTCACTATCAAATGATTTTTTCTGAGATGGTTAAATGAATAAAGAAACATGAAAAAAACATGCACAGACAAACACATATACTATATTTCTCTCTCTCTCTCTCTCTCTCTCTCTCTCTCTCTCTCTCT